TCAGATATGTGGTTTACAAGTTTTTCCTGTTCTGTAGGTTATTTCACCTCCATTACAGAAAACAATTAATTTTCTTCCCCCTCTTCCTCTTTCCTATTCCTTTGCCCCCTCCTTCTATCCCTCCCTCTTCCCCTCCTTCCCTTTCTCTCCCCCTACTTCTTCTCTCCCTCTCCTGTTTTGGGTGGTTCTTTTGTGGGGATCATACTTAAGAAACCATCACAATTGAAAGGTGTATGCCCATGTTTTCCTGTAACATTCTGGGGTACGTTTTGAGTAAACTTTTGTACTTGGCATAAGGTTGGAGTCCACTTCATTTTTTCACATGTGAAGGTTCAGTTGTCCCAGCTGCATGTGTGACATGACCACTCTGTTCCATTTCAGTTTTTCTGTGCAGCCTGCTTAAAGTCAGTTGATGATAGCGGTGTAACTCCTAGTTTACTCTCTGGATCACAGGGGCCATTTGTATGTTAGCACCACACTGTCTGGATTGCTGTAACATAGCTCTGAGTTTTGAAATTGGAAATGTGAGGCCTACACTTTAGATTTTTCATTTTAAAGGTGATTTTTGGATGTACTGGGCCTTTGCATTTCCATATGATTTTTAGGACCAACCTGCTGATATCTGTGAAGAAATCACCTGGGATTTCAGACAGGTTTTCCACTGGGTTGCATCCACTAGTGTGGAGAGCACTGTGGGCCCCACAGGGTTAATTTTCAGTTAGTGAACATGGCAGGAGGTCTTCAACAGTTTCTTCTAGTGTTTGTGCTGTTGAGTGCACAGGCCTTTGCTTACACTCACTTATTTTTTTTTTTTTTTTTTTTTTTTGTGCTACCAGGGATGAAACCTGGGGCCTGTTATACATTTGCTAAATGTGTGCTCTACTGCTGAGATCATATCCTCAGCTCTATTCTTTAGTATTTTCTTTTTTTTTCCTACTGTAAATATGATAGTTTTCTTAATTTTACTCTCAGATTGTTTACTGTCAATGTATAGAAATGTGGCTGATGTTTGTAGGCTGTGGGCTGGTTTTATATCTGAACTCATTCCTTAGTTTTATACATTGTTCTATTAGGTTTTCATGTTAGATACACACACACACACACACACACACACACACACAAACACACACACACACCCCATAATTTGATATATGTATGTAAGATGCACACGCGCGCGCACACACACATCCACACACACACACACACACACACACACACACCATAATTTGATATATGTATGTAAGATGCGCACGCACACACACATACACCCCATAATTTGATATATGTATGTAAGATGCGCACACACACACACCCCATAATTTAATATATGTATGTAAGATGCGCATGTGTGCACACATACACACACACACACACACACACCCCATAATTTGATATATGTATGTAAGATCTGCCATCCATATAGGGGTAGTCTTACTCTGCCTGCTCCTTCTATCCTGCCCAGGGCTTCCATGTCATTCATTGTGATGTCAGCTATTACTTCACAGCTGCCCTTCACTAGTTAGCCAAATCCTCTTCTCCAATCAGTTGACTATATGTTTCTTTTATTTTTGAATTCACAAAGCCCATTTTGTAAATGCCTTTCTGTGCCCATTCTGCCAACGTGATGTGTTGTATTGCCCAATTGCTGGCATTAAACAGGCCTTGTGTTCGGAGGGTACAACACACTTGGCCAAAGTTGGCAATCTTTTGTGTATATTGCAGGATTCAGCTAGGATCTCATTAGTCTGTGGTGTTATTATAATTTTATTATTTTTTTTGAAATTGGCATAGAAATATAACTATGGGAGGACAAGATGAGTTTTGAAATATGCACATTCTCTACAGTGGTCTAGACAAACTGTTAGCACACATCACCTCACTTGCTTATTGTATGTATGTGTTGGGGGTTACCCTTGGCTCTTTGCCAGCACTGTGTGTTGTTCAGAACTCCAGCTGCCATGTGAAGCAGGAGGGCACCTCAACTTCCCTTGTTGATTTTATTGAATGGTTGTGTGCTTTGACAGTCTTCCTTAATCCCTCCCTCTCTACCATCTCAGCCCTAGGAACCAGTGTTATACTCTCTGATTTTGTGTCCTTTGAAGGGCTCACATTGAAATGAGTGATAGGTGTCCATTATTTTGTGTCTATTTTATTTCACTGGGTACTTTCCAGGTTCATCCACTCTGTTATAGTCACAGCATTTTCTCCCTTTTAAAGGCTTTGTCTTCTTCCATCTTATTTTCTTTATTTGTTGATAGGCCCCATTGACTTCATATCTTGGCTATTGTGAATACTGTATAATTAACATCATCAATTCAATGTAGTTTCACTAGTTAGTTACCCAGTGGAGGGGTTGCTGAATCATTGCTTTTCCTATTTTTAAATTTTTTTTTTAAAATTGTGTAGCTCAGAATGCTCTCAATACCCCAATCCTCCTACTTCACCTCCATTGTGCTGGGGATGACAGACATGTGCCTCCACAACCATTTTTAATTATTGGAGAACCTGCAGTATTGTTTTTGTAATCATTTTGTGTCCCCCAGCATTCCCATGCTCCTCACATGCTCGTCAATTCCTGGGGTGGCTTCTCTTTTAGATACTGGCCATGTGGCCAGTTCAGGTGGAGGTTGGCCACATCCTCATGTTTGTCTGGGTGTTTTGATTTTTGTTCTGTTCCCTTGCCTCTTCCTTAATCGTTGTCATTTCTTCTTTGGCTGTTACCGTTGCTTCAGTGTTCCCACAAAACACATGTTGGAACATAATTCCCATTGTGAAATATAAAAGCAGGGCTGCAACTATGAGGTTTGGAATTGGAGCTTTTGGGCTGACTCAGGTAGACAAGGCCTTCTAGAAAAAAGAAGCTTCTCAGATGAGGGGTGAGAGCTACACTAATCTCTGGGTGTACAAATAAAGTATTCAAAAGGCAGTTTGATACTATGCCCATGTAGCAACGTAATAATATTAGCTTCTCTCCTAGGGCCTAAGACATCCCTAGCTATGGGTTCTTGGTCCAGTTTACAATTCTAGGCATGAGTTCCCTTTTGTTGAGTGGGACTCAATCCAATAAGAAAGCGATTGGTTGCTCTCATAGCATTCATGCCACTGTTGCGGTGGTATGTATAACTTGCCATGCTGGTCACTATTATAGTTCACAGGGTTCACAGCTGGTAAGACTGTCAATGCTTTTCTTCCTCTGGCAGTCTGCACAGCTAGCAGGTAGGAAGTTTCTATGTCAGCACCAACATGATTATCTGTCTCCTGATCGTGTCTTCAGCAATAGTCTATCAGCAAATTTTTATGGGCAACCAGTGGTTGACCCACTTCTTTCTAGTCTCTGTTTCCCGAGGAATCCTTTTGTTTAGTTATTTAAGTTCCTTTGTAATGATAAGGCCCTTCCCTTGCTGCTTTTAAGATCCTCTTTGTCTTTGGTGGCAACTGTTTGATTGTGAATCTAAATCTGCTGAGATCCTGCCCTTGTTTCACTAACCCCGTTGGAAGGGATAGCTAGCATGTTGCCTGGTTTCTTTAGTGCTTTAATTTGACCCTCCTGGTGATTCTATAGCATCCTCTTGATCTGCCAGTTTGTTTTTTTTTTAATCATAGCATGCAGTTTTATAGAACTTCAGAGTGATGTTTGTGTGCTTTCTTCTCCTGACTTGTCCACTCAGTAGATATGCTGAACAGCATCATATAGAGGCTTTTGGAAGACTTTCATTTTTCTTAGGTAAGGAACACATAGCCTTGTCTGTGATGATGCCACATCTAGTTGGTGGCCTGAATATGAACAGATATTTTAGGAGCCCAGAGGGAGAGTCACTCATGACTTTCTGGTCCTTCTTAGTAGATGAGAAAATCAGGTTTGAATAGTTTAAGCAAATTTGTGGCCTTGAAGTTATCTAAATGAGAAAGCAACAGACCCAAGGAAGAGAACTCAGACTTCTTGGTTCTTTCCATGAAAGCCAGTCATTCCAGAGCATAGGTGTACTAAGTCTCCACTATTGATGCTGCCAACCAGTCAAGCAAGAAGCTTTCTTCAGCCAGGTAAAAGAGTGAAGTTCTGACTGTCCATTTTGTTTTTAAAAGTGCACAATGCTACAAATTAAAATAACCTGTGTATGCTTATTCAGTTATATTACCACATATTTAGAAAACAAATGATTGCTGGAACTCAGGTGTTACGATATGGCCACCTATGTATACATATATCTTACTAACCACACTAATGGTTTTGTTTTTCCCTTTCCTTGATATTTCTGTTTTGAAAAGATTTATTCTTTTTCCTTCCTTTCCAGCAGAATTTTGGGCAAATATAGTTTACATGCAGCTTCTTAAAAATAAGAGTAAGTGATCAACCAGAGCCATGTTCATTCTTGAGAGGATGATGCCTCCCGTCTCTATTTTTCCATGATTCTTTGCAGCTGGGCAAGGAGAAGCAAATGTTATAAAGGGAATGACAGTATGTGGTGCTCCTAAAGAGCCATCCATCTTCCCTCATAGGGAGCTCAGCATTTTTGCAGGTTGAGCACATGTCACATATGGACATTTCTAGAGAACAGATTTCCCCATCTCTAAGCAGCGAACATGTTAGCTCATTGCAGGGAACATGCTAGTGATGCCTGGGAAAGGTAGGGCACTAGGAAATCTGTAAGGTGATTTGGCAGCAGCCGGTGCTGTCATGCCAGGATCTGGGTACTGCTCCACAGCTTCCTGTTTTCAGATGTATTAATTGATCTAAAAAGGACATCCTTTGGAGACAAGAATTCAGACAGACTGGCATAGCCTGGATCTCTGCCAAGACTGCTCGGAAGGTTGCCATACTGGGAGGGAAAGAGAGAGAGAGAGAGAGAGAGAGAGAGAGAGAGAGAGAGAGAGAGAGAGAGAGAGAGAGGGAGAGAGAGAGGGAGGAGAGATGAAAGAGAGAGAGAGAGAGAGAGAGAGAGAGAGAGAGAGAGAGAAAGGGAGAGAGAGCTGAGGAAATTTTTAAAAGGCAAGACTTGGCAGAGCTCAGTCACATCAGCCTCTTTTGTCTGTTTCTCGGCTTGAGCTACAGAAAGAAAAAATGTCCCGGGATACAGGAAACCTCACAACTTTTTGGTTTTCAAACTTGGAAGGCTTTTGAAGTCTCTTGGGCTGTTGGAGAGTGTTGGCTCTTACTATGACATTTAGTCACCAGCGTTCAGGGAAAAAAAAAGCCTGTTTCAAAAAAGGCATTCTCCCCAGTGTCCATGCATTTGGGAAATAATGTATTTATTTTATTTTTGCATGTGTGACCATGACCGTGAGAAACAGAATTAATGTAGAAGATGGCAAGGAGAGTTTTAATTAGGGAGCATTGTAGTTTTCTATAGAGTAAACTTTGCTCATCAATACAAACCTGCTTTCAAATCAAATCAAATATCCTTGGAGTTATGTTCGGAGTGGCAGCTTCTAGACTTAAATACTTTCATTTTACTTAATTCCCACCCCCCAATTTCTAGATATTAAGTTTTCATGGAGTCTTTCTAAGATTTTTATGGCAACCTGACCAGGGAATCTGAGTCAAAGTTGTTTCATCCTTGTGTTTGAGAAAACGGCCTCTTAAAGCCACAGCTTTGATTTCTGCAGCTTCATGCCGTCCTAAACTACACCCCCAGCAATTAGTGACAATACCGAAGACCAGAAAAGCAAGCTGAAGACACCCGACTTCGCTTGAAGGGCAAACAGGAACTGTGAGCTTGGTCATTATTTTTTTTTTTTTTTAATGTGTGTGTGTGTGTGTCTGTGTATGTGCGTTCTTGTGTGCGTGCGTGCGTGTGTGTGTGTGTGTGTGTGTGTGTGTGTGTGTGTGTGTGTGTTACTTGAACCATTTTGGGGAGGTGGGTGGGGAGGTGGGTGGGGAGGTGTCTGTGCAGAGATGTTTGTGGTCAGTGAATTCGCGTTGTGAGGAGGAAATGAGCAAAGGTAATTTTTATGATGTTGGCAGAAATGGCTGGAGTGGTAAAGAATAGAAATGTAAAGCTTTTGGGTGAGAAGCTGTGAGCTGTATATGAAATAGCTGAAGGGAAAAATGTTACCAGTTTTGACTTGACTAAGGTTTTATTTAACAATTCTTATCTTGACTCTTCTCAAAATGTTTTTTTTTTTAATGTAGAAAGTTAATTGATCTTTTAAAATTCTACCCAGTGTTTTACTTAGATATACTTTTCTAATTTCTTATTAATAAATACTTGCTATGAGGCCTGGTTGTGGTGGATTGTGTAAGAGTTTTGCTCTTAAACACCAATGTTATAATAGGGGAGGTTCACGGGCAGGGATGGGTTTTTATGGACCACCCTTATTGCCAGTAAGTATCCTATTTCTAAAAAAGAGATTTGGAGCTGTGGGATTAGATGGCGAGTCCCTGCAAAATCCTCACTTTCTTTTGATTTTTGTGGACTGAGAGGATACTGGAAATTGGCTATATTCATATAACTGCCGATCATTTGGCATAGTCTGAAAGATGTTCCGAGACCAGTGCTTTTGTTTTGAGTTTGTAACCATCGATTTGTGATCCTTTGACAAGAACAAATTGTTCATTGTTTCCTGTCAATGCGCGCTTTCAACGATCGATTGTTGAGGATGGTTTTTATAAAAGTATAGAGACACACCAGCCATCCTGGAGATGACATTTAGTGCGCAAATATGATTTTAAAGCACGTTAGTGCAGGTGTGTGAAGTTAAAAGCTAAAGTATTTTCTCCCACCTCTTAAACAAACTAATCAACGTTTTGATGTTTAATAAAGCGAAGTCGCATAGTGTTTATGTGTGTTTCGAACATGACCACCTTTGTTGTATAAGCCCTTTCATCCACTCTTTTGTTGATATTCTGAAAATGGATGCCAAGTGGGACAGAGCGATGGGCACTGCAAAGGGGCGCTTTCATGACCAGTCGCAGGGCGTTCAAGTCCATGTTGAAACCACAAGGAGTGAAAAGACAGTGCGGTGGATCAGCTCAGTCCCTGACCATCTTCTTAGCTTCACAGCCATTTAATACACCCTTTGCCACTGTGGATTGCTAAGTGTGCAGCTTATTTGGTTTAAGAGCATTTTCTCCCCTTCAAGTTAAAAGAATTGTTATTTGCAAGCTTATCTCTTAGCTTTTCTGCAGCGAATTCAGTAAAAGAGCAAACTCGATCCAAACTATTATATGACCAATTATTTTGACCAAAATACTAAAAGTAAAGCAAATTAAAAAAAACCCAAAGATGTTGAATACATCTTAAGAAATACTTTTTTTTTGATAGTAGTAAAACTGTATTTTATATTCTAACTGTGCTTCAGATTTGCTAAATATTAGTCGCTTTACCCAATAAAGTTTCTTACCAATACATTCTCTCTGGCCTGCATGCTATGTATCTTAAAACGAAAAAAGTTCCCTGTTATGGTGTTTGCTGTTACCTGGGTATTAGTAACTCTCCCTCAAATAAGTTTTTCATATAGAAATTGTATTGATAAAGTTTTCCAAAATTAGCAGTTCAACTGAATATACACTTCTTTCCCTTTGATCCTTTATACAACAAATACATTGACATTTATTACTAGTTCCGCATCATAATAATAGCATTAGTAGTTTAATTCTTAATGTATCTAAAGACTGTGGTCTGATTTTAAACGAAGCCTTCCCCAGGCACACATGTATCACACTTGGAATTGTGTTCTATTTTATTAAGACAGAAATGGTTAATATTTTACTGTGCCATGACTAGTCTTAAGTTCCATTTTAGTGTAGGCACCTAAATATCTGAGCACGTTGTTCTGTAATTGAATGCAAACCTCTCAGGCGGCTTTCACCCAGTACTTTATAATTATTCATTCATTTATTCAACAAATGTTTACTGAGAATCCACTTATGTATGCTAATATTTTACCAGTGGAGTTATTCTGAGTAACTGGGAAGGAAGGATATTAGCAAATGGAAAAGAGAATAGATTTAAAAGCAAGCTCAAAAGGCCCAGACAGAAAAAAACAATGTTGTTATGGGGTTCATTTCAGTATATTAAAGGGTGTTCACTTTTATTGTACAATATACATATTCTAGAACGCTGTTCTGAAAATGAAATGGAGGTTTATTCTAGTCTACCCAGTTTCAGAAGTATGGCTTTCACTACTGTTTTGGATGCCACATTTCCATGACCAAAGCACTTCAGTCTTAATGTACACATGTGAGGCCAACACTGCAGGGAATTAGATGAGCGGGTCAGGCCCACTGAACACATATCAGAACCACTTGTGTTCCAACAGGTTCATTGAACTCTCAAAGATGCAGCTTTCACTCAGAACAAACAGTGGATGTTTAGAACAGACTTTTTATGTTTGCTTTGTTTTCTGTTGTCCTGTAGATGAGGACCAACAGGCTACTCTGGCCTGGCTAAGCCACCATGGTCTCTGAAAGTATGTTTGCAAGGCAGTGGTGTTCTTCAAAAGGAGCAACGAGTCTCTCCTGTGTATTATGCAGGGGTAGGAGGGTTGGCTTGTTCCATCCCTGGCATTGATCTCGGTGACTTAACTTTATTCTGTATGGTTGTTCTCTCATGTAAGTGAAGTGGAGGAGTAGGGTCTGAAGAGGGGTTAGACACCACATGAGTTAGGGGTGAGTAAAGAGGCTGTGACAGTGGCCCTGACATGGCTGATGGGCAGAGGCTCAGTCACAGGTGTTTAATGTTCAACACCCAGAAGGCCTGCTCTGGTCAGAGAAATGACACATGATTAATTCCCACTGTGGCTGGGTGTGGGAGTGGACACAAATAACTGATGAGTGTTTATCTCCCTATAGTGGGCCAAAAGCTCTCATGTAATTCCATCAGGAAGACCAGCATAGGGATGGGCAAGCCATGGCCACTTAGTATGTCCCACAGAAGGAATGAGGAGCCTGGTTCTCATTTCATTTTTCCCCTCATGCTTGAAATAGAAAAAAATCAGTTTGCTTGTTTTGAATCTTGATGGTATGTTGCTGGTTATGAATTTAGAGGGGAATGGAGTTTAGCTCTCCATTTATCATGACTATGTTAAAGTTCCCCAAGGCCACCACGGAAGACTATGTAGAATAAAAGCCCCAAGGAAAAATGAGTCCCGACTTTTCCCCAGCTAGCCACTCAGTGTCCTTCATTCTCTCTGCTTCAAAGGTGGCCCATGGTTCAGAGTCTGTCCCTCTAGAGTCTAGGCACTCCAGCAGTGATGCATCTGGAACCATGGAAGGCACAGCCCCTCTGTATCCATGCCGTCCTTTTCTCCCCACATATCACCATCACTCATGTCCCTCCTCTTAATTCACTCCAAGCTATATATTCTGCACTCCGTTGTCCATTAGAAAAGATCAAGTGTGTTCAACTCCTTCATGCTCAGAGGAACTCTTCCCTTGAAGCCGTCTTCCCCATCATGCACACAGAGAGAAAATGTCCTGCAGAGCTTCAACAGCCTGACTGGAGAGTTTGGCTCTGTCCTATAGGCTTGGGGCTCTGGTTAAGTTCTGAACACCCAGCTTTCCATCTGTAAACAAGGGTCATGGTATCTCCTGCAAAGGCTGTAGGGAGGAACAATGAGGGCATGTACATAGAGTACTTAGCATAATAGCATCTCTTGCATGGGTAACACTGGGTAAATGGGAGACATTAATTTACTTTTGAAAAAAACATTTTTAATTATGGTAAAATATGAATTACAGGTAATTTATCATTTCATTCTTTTCTACACTGACTACATTGACACTTAGGTGATCCCATTGCTATGATCCAGCCTCAGAAATGTTTTCATCTTGCAAAACTGGAACTCTATACTCAGTAAGAGGGACTTTGTGTTTCCTGTGTTGTTCTGCCTCATATTGCTGACAGCCTGACTTCTTTAGCCCCTTGTGTAAGTACAGCCAGAATGTTCTTTATTATGTGACTGGCTCATGGTCTCTAAGGTAGCAGGTGTCAGCATTTCCTGCTTTTTGAGGACTGTAATATTCCACTGTGCCTAACTTCATTTTTCCTCTTAATGAAGACTTCCTAACTTTCATCTGGTGTGAATGAGTCTGTGTGGACTCAGATGTACGAGAGTGTCTTTGAGATCTTATTTTCAGTTTTTGGGGATTTATCTCTTAGAGCAGAATTTCTGGATTCATAGGCAGGGTTTGGAACCTCAAAGTGCAGCGATTTGATAGAAAGTCTGGACTGAGAACTCGAAAAGGCCAGTCTAGCTTTGTGTGGGAATAAGTTCAAGTACTACAATGATAAGTCTAATTATTTTGTGTTGTTTTTCTCTGGATTATTTATCTGGCCACCACCCTGATAAAATAATAGGCTGTCCTAGGCTATTCCAGTCAAAGTTCATTTGTCACATCAAGTCCCTCTTCTGTTTGGAGAATTTTCTGCACCATGCTTTGAGGTGGGTCTGCTGGCAGCAGCTTTCTTCTTTTTCCTCAGTCTGTTAATGGGACTATCTGGATTTCCCTTTTACCTTCGAAGAACATGTTCTCTCTCTCTCTCTCTCTCTCTCTCTCTCTCTCTCTCTCTCTCTCTCTCTCTCTCTCTCTGTGTGTGTGTGTGTGTGTGTATGTGTAGCATTCTTTCAAGCTTGTGTAGGTAGATGCATGTGTGAGTGTAGGTTTGTGTACATATGGAGGCCAGAGGTTGACATTGGGTGTCTTCTTCAATTGCTCTGCACCTTAATTTTTGAGTCTTGGACTCTTATTGAACCTGGAACTCACTGA